TTTTCTTATTTTTTAATTTATTTTATTGTATATCACATGATTTGAATTTTAAATTTTTTATTTTATTCATAAAAAATTATTAAATTATTGACCTATATATTATTTTTAAATATTAACAAATTAATCTGGTCTAAAAAGTAATTAGATCTAGATGTTTCATTGATTTGAAATCCCAATTGTCTTATTTATTTAACAATTTTTTTCCCCCTCTAGATTGGGTGGTCCTCATAAGACTATGATGGCTAGGACATCAATTATATGTGCTGGACTTGTAGAATCAAGGTACGAAGGAATCAAAATTAATTTTTCTTTTTTTTTATTAATTTTCCTATCGTGTCTCCATCAAGAGGATTATTGGGGAACTAATATTACCGACCAAATTATGTCCATTTGGTGAAATGTACAACGGTGTGGAATATTTTTCAATTTTTTTTTTAGTGAAAACAAAGATTTTATTTTATTTTTTAATAAATTAAAATTATCTACATATATTAATTTTAAAAAAATTTAATGAATTTCAAACAAATCACTTACATAAAGTGAATGATTTTAATTCAACATCCATGTCATTTGAGTCAAAATTGACGGTTTGGAAACAAAGACTTTATTTAAAATAAAACAATAAGTATATGTTATCGCTAAAAGGTAGGATTATGCAATGAGAATAGATATATCAACCGGCCTAATGTCACATAAAGCTCAAACATTTCATCATAGTTATGAAAGAAAAAATCTCCCAACTTTTTTAAAGGTTAAACGTCAAATTTTGGTCCTCAACTTTGGTATGTATTGTTGATTTGGTTTTTAAACTAAATAAATCATTATTTTGGTCTTAAAATTCTAAATTTCACTCTTTTTAAGTATTTTACTTAAATTTTAGCTTATATCTCAAGTAGCTTAATTGACAACAAAACCTCTATTTTGGTCCATAGGAATTTTACATGACAAAAATTGATGATATAAACAAAATTTATTATTCATATTAATCTTAAAAGTTTATTTAATCACAAAATTTTTATTAGATTAAACTCTGATTTTGATCCTGAACTTTATATGTACTCTAATTTGGTCTCTAAACCAACGAAATCCATGTTTTGGGACAACAGAAATAGCTAAATTTAAAACTTTAAAGATTAAAATCAAAATTTAGTTAGTTTAGAGGTCAAATTAAGAATCTATACCATAATTGAGGGACTTAAAAGAGGTTTCACTTTAAATACAAAGCACCTTTGATTATCATAAAGAGATTGTCACATCCAAATGACACAATTATGTCGTTTAGCATCAAATCCCGCCTTTATAGTTTTAAAGAAATAATTTTTTATAAAAAAATATTTTTT